TTTATAAAGTTTGTTTATAAAATGTCGCACAGCCCTATTCCACCACAGATAAAACAGCAGTCAAGTTTGACGGTTAGCAGATCATATCGGTACAAGTGAACATACATCACATGTAATTGTATTCAGCGACAATATATTGATAAATACCTGTTTGACATAACATTTATATACAGTACCTAGGTACTTACATTATAATACATAATTATCCTATCCTACTAATCCTATTATTATTATAAATGTGAAAGCTTGTGAGAATATTTGGATATTTATTTTATGTGATAGACGGCAAATGAGCAGACGGATTACCTGATGGTAAGCAATCAGCACCGCCCGTGGACACCCGCAACAACAGAGGAGTTACGAGTGCGTTGCCGACCTTTTGGGGATTAGGGTTTTGGATATTTAGGGATTGGGGGAGGAGAAGGATTGGGCCTCCGGTAACCTCACTTACACGGCGAAACACAACGCTGTGGTTGTTTCACGCCGGTTTTCTGTGAGGTCGTGGTATCACTCCGGTCGAGCCGACCCATTCGTGCCGAAGCTTGGCTCTCCCACACTTTGCATGTTATTTGTTTGTTATTCTTTCGATTAGGTTGAAATTTGGTATGTATATTCCCAGGATTCAGCCGGGGTTACGGGTAAGCGAAATGAGTCACTGCGGCCTCGGCCCAGAGCAGGAGAAGGAACAGGGGGAGTTTTTAGTCAGTAAGAGTCTGACACTCCCTCTCGCCTCACTCTGGGCGGGAGAAAACTTTTGATGATTAACCCCTGACAAAAAAAAGTTATCCAGGATTAACACTTAGGCTTTTTATCAACATACAAATCGGGCGAAGCCGCGGCTGAAGCTAATTATTAATATTTTAAAATGAACACGGACAAGACCACTTTACATATGTAAGACAGATTATCTATCTAGATAGGTCCAACTTCGATAAAAAGACCCCGAAGACCTATACCTTGTAAAAGATAGCTTGATCTCTGCGACATGCGTCAAACTGACATTCCTAGGGTTGTCATGGTACAAAAAAATATCGATAGTAATTTTCGACGTTTCTTACTTATCGATGCTAAAATTATATATTTAATTGGAATATAATTTGGGTACTGAAATGAAACGAATATTTTAATCTAAGATAAATTTATTCCAAAGGAGTGCACCCCAAATCTATATCCGAATCACTTTCAGAATGTCCCGAAACCCAAAGTTGTCGAAAGAATTTTACATGAGTAGGTTACTATTTAAATTTTATTTACTCACTATTGTAAATAATGATATTATTTTAAAATATACAATAAAATGAAATGATACATTAATTTTGAATTAAGAAAAAATATCGATAGTTTATAGTTTGTGGTCACGATGATTCATCACTCATCACTAATTAGGTCAGCATGCCCATAAAGTATGACATTGACAGGTACGTTTCTCCGTACTGTTAAATTCAGAACTTCATAGGCGCGATTTTACTGACAGCTGTCCCAGAGATCAAGCTATCTTTTACTAAGTATAAGAATCTATCTCGGGACTGGGCGGCGTTCAGAAAGTTACGTGCCATCAATGGAGCACGTACGACCGCAAAAGTAGATCTTATTAAAATATAGTACTTATACAGCGTTTATAAGGTCTTTGCCTAGTTTACTTTGTCTTAACATAATCCACCTCTAGCCAGAATAAGAAAGTTCTATGCCATGATGGAAGTCTACCCATGACAGTCTTTACAGGGGGCTAAGCATGACGTTCAAATTAAGATTGTTATAATCTTACTTCAGTGAGGGTAAGAGACAGAACTAGACCACTTGTATAGCTCTTTCTCATGTCATGGTTACCCCTCTGGACTATTCGCTCCCTCCACAAAAGAAGAAAGGAGACCCATTACTAAGTTCAACTTAGCAAGGAGGTTGGTGATGCGGTTTAAAAGATTCAGGTTGATCAGAGAGCGCTGCTATCATGTTAAGAAGTATCTGTGAAATGCATAGCCCAATCCTTCTCCCCCCTTTTCTGGATGCCCAAATCCCCTATTCTTAAGTCCCTTACAACCATCAAAAGGCTAGCAATGCATTTGAAGTAAATGCTTTGGTGTTGCGAGTGTCTATTGGCGACCCCGACTTTTTACCATCGGGTGATCTGTCTGGTCGTTTGCCGACATAATAATATTACCCCATAAAAAAGTCCAGTCCCTTGATGGGATGTAAAGGACGGGAAAGTCAGACTCTTACTGACAAAAACCATTCAGTTCTGACATGACTGCACGGTTGGCGCGGTGGTTTGGCAACTGGCTGCCGCACAACGTGTCGCGGGTTCGATTCCCGCACGTACTTAACAACTCTTTGTGTGATTCACAAATTGTGGTTTCGGGTATGGGTGTGATGTGTACGTGAATTGTATGTTTATAAACGAACCCACGATACAGGAGAAAATCCTAGTTTGAGCAACGTTCTATAAAACGGAAAAATAAAATTAGATACTTCTCCTGCTCCTGGGCGGGACCGCAGTACCGCCAATTTTTTTTTGTGTACGACCCCAATCTTTCGTATAATTTAACTTATACTGGTTGCACATAATAAGCTTAAAGACAAATTATTAAAATTTATTCACTAATGAACTGATCTAAATAATTATAACGTGCATTGAGAGTAATTAAATAAGTAAATTGTTAATTTAAAGTGGATATGGTGTGTTCAACTAATGTGGATCGACATTGAAGTGTCTACTGAAGGCCGATTGATCGATTACAAGTTTGATCTGAATGTTTTACGCGAGTTCGGGTTCTGTGGGAGTGATAAAAAAACCTTACCTTAGTTATGGAGTAGAAATATCTTTATCCTTTTACTTATAGGTAAATGCGTAATTTTAACAACTTAACTGTCCATATACAATACAATTTACAACTATACCAAGTCTATTTTTTCTTTTTTGATAGGTATTAACCTATACTACTTACCTACGTTCACATTGTCGTATGTAAATTATAATTCATAAAAATATACCTATATTAATAATTTGTGTTTTTTTATTGATTTTATTTATTTGCCTCCCCGTATAAAATATTCCCGTTTCCCAAGTTCTAAAAGTGATATGTGCACACAATAACTATTTACGCAAAAGCCTAACTTGGTACAAAAAGATCGCCGTTGATGAAAGAAAATGAAAGTTCTCCGTGAGTCATATGTGACTTTTATAACTTTAGTAGGATTCAATGTCTCGTCTTTTCGAAAATTTTCGTGATATCAGATTATGTTTGTGTTATGAGTTATGACATTTATTTATTTGTGCCTAATAAATACCTAAGTAGGAAAAAAATAATTTCTATCGAAAATAGCTAGAAAAATATGAAAAACCATTTTCTTAGAATCAAGTTTTTACTTCCTGATTTAATTTTTACAACAGTCAAATCAAGAAGCTCCGTGTTGTTATTCTTTTGTTATTGTTACTTTAATAATATTTTTTCCTGTCCCAGCAGCTGCACTTGTGATCACCCGATGAACGACACTACGCACAAGAAGCTGTGTGCGAAAATATGTAGTATTGACGGCACGGTTGGCGCGGTGGCTGGGTAACTGCCTGCCGCACCATTCCGGGTGTGATGTGTACCTACCTATATGAAATTGTATGTCTGTAAACGCATCTACGACTCCGGAGAAAATCCCAGAAAGGGTCAAAGTGTTTTTCTAAAAATATAGCATTTTTCTAAGATAGATTAACTTAGATTGTTCATGTACAGAACCCACAGTAAGGACAAACCCCTACGTAATAAAATGACAGGTCCTTAAACCACAGATAAGCTAATAATTGATTATCGCAATACATAATTCGGTCGTGGCAATACGTTTTGTCTGCCTGTGGCTAGGTTGCGGTTCAAAAGGTCAGCTTTTGTAGGTAAGTAGAATGCCGTTTTGTACGACATATTTTGATAGTCGTGATAGAATGTGACTTCCTACACACATTGGAAGGGTGAGAGAGTTCTTGTTCCGTGTTCATGAAGATTTTTTTTTAAATATTTTAGTTTTCTACAGAAGAATAGGTGCTACTACTATTTATTAAAGCTTTTCAAGCTTAATCAATATTTCAGCACCTAGCAGTTCTCAATCGGTTGACTAGATTTAAAATTATCTTCACTTATCAGTTATGTAGAAATTTGCAAAAACTTTAAATAACAATATCAAGTGAGTAACATACAGACGGGGCCCTTTAGAGCTGATGTACAGCCGGGGTTGCGATGGAAAGCGCAATGTGGCACTGCTGCCTCTACCCCGAGGAGGAGAAAGAACGCGGGGGTTTTTAGTCAGTAAGAGTCTGTCACTCCCTCTCGCCCGAGCCTGGGTGGGAGAAGGCATTGGATGAATTTCCCTTCACAAAAAAAAAAACAATAACATTAAGAAAATAACCAATTAATTTATCTATGCTATTATTTTGGCATCATTAAAAAACTTTCCCGAGTTGTATGCATTGTCAAAGTTTACTTAGACAGTAAAATAAAACATATGTAGATTTAAGTATAATTTCGCTTTGAACAAGCGTGGTGGTAAATACTCAAACCTTTTCCTTACGCAAGGAGCGATAGATAAGTAATACTTGCTATATCTATATGGAGAAAGATATTTACCATGAAACACCATATTGCCATGTAACGGTATAAGGCCGAGGTGCTTGGTCGTCTTAGTAATATATGATAAATATGGGCATATTACAAGAGAGAACTAGGTGTCATAAAGGTTTATTTAAGGATAGGTAGTTGACTAGTATTTAAAAAAAAGTTTGCGTGTTATGTAAATGCAACGGGCTTACGTCTTTTTACACGGGATCTCTTAAAGCTGAATATAATTATATTTTCAATTGCTATGAATTTAAATTGTTATACTTGCTCGTTACTAAAAATATTGAAGAGATTTGGTCGATTACGTTGCTGGGTGAATTTTGTAAGTTAAGAGCTAAACAATCTCGGTGTCAAGAACAAAAATCTATATCGATAAAATGGAAACGTCAAAATGTTCAACTGTCATTTGAGAGTGACGTTTGCGGTATTGTTTTGGTTGGACGCTTGTTGAGTAGCCGAAGATTCGTAATTTTGTTGTGAATAAAATGATTTGAATGCATGTTATTACTATAAAATAGTAGTTTATAAGACGAAGGACGTGTAAGATACAAAATGAGTAACATTTATATACAAGAACCACCTGCTTTGGGCAAGGTTAGTAATGAGTTACATTTTTCCTAAAGAAACTCGACATTTACACTGTTTTATTGTACATTTTCATAGTTTGAAAGTATTTAACTTACTATAACTTCGATTTTCAACAAGTTTTCAGTCCATTCCTTTACCTAAAATCAATTTTAATTTGGTTAATTTAGATAGGTTAGGAGTTTTATAAGCTAGCTTTTATGAACTACTTTTCTGTGTCATGTTTTAATCTTTATATATGTCAAAGTAGTCTTTATTATCGACTACTATCTTTTGGTCATAAAACGATTCAATTTATCTTAGTTGTAATCTTGTTTTTTTTTATAATTATTAAAAAAAAACAAATCCTTACACTAAAATGTTTGCCTGTGTCTTGGGTGCGTTTACAAACATACTTTTTCAAATACACAACCATTGGTAGATAACAACTATTTGTGCAAATACTTGTTAAGATAATTTTAACTGAAACATTCTTGATTCAATTATTAATTTCTAATCAGGTTTTCTCAGTGCATGTAAATTAATTATTTAATCCATTGAAATTCAATTTTGTGTAATACTTTGGGAATTATGTGTATGTATAATTATCAAACTAGACATAGATATAGATAATGTCAGCCATTATATAGATTGGCAAAGGTATGCAAATCTTTCATGGGATTCTGTGTTAAATGTTATAACAGAGTCCCAGGTGAAGTACAACAATTAAATCAACAGTTAGGTTATTTCCATTTTATTTTTCTGAATAAATATTACTGTTACACTGTACTCACATAATCAAACCAACTGAATGTGAAACTGATTTAAAAAGAGTAACCATGGAGGTTCTAGCTCATTCTACTCCAACGGAATCTACACTTTGGAACAAGCAAATAGCTACACTACCAGGACTGACTGACACTTTATATCCTTAAATTTTCGTTTGATGTTCAAACAAAAAAAGCCTGTAAGGGTCTAATTGAAATAAATGATTTTGACTTTTGACTTTTTGTATTAGGAGTATAAAACAACTAAGTTAATATAACAAACTTACCATACCATATATTCACTTTTTTTTTCAGTACTATACTTCTATTCACCTTTTTATATCATAGTTTTTTCAAGTAATATGTGCTACAATTTCGAAATTTTGAATGTTTGGATATCATTTATTGTTTATCTGTACTGACATTTATAATGCTTTGTGTGAACCTACCTATATGGTAACTTTGTTGTACCGATATTTTGTTGGTTTGTGTGCGTATATATATTAAATGGGTACCCTGAATGTATCTATATATTTGACGTTGACTAGTCATAGATTAATATTATTTTATTTTTAATCTTATTGTGGCGTGTAATCATTACCATTATCATAAAAAATATTTTCAAAATATTTTCATATTTTTTTTTTATACTGTTATGTCATATTATTGTTTTTTATTTCATCTTCCACTAAGATAATCTAATATCAACTCCCGAGCGAAGCCGGGCATCATAGCTAGTAAATAGTTAAATAAAAATTTATTTTTTAATTTCGTTCCAGGTTCTATTAAAAACAACAGCGGGCGAGATTGACATAGAGTTATGGACAAAGGAGGCTCCAAAGGCTTGTCGGAACTTCATACAGTTGTGTATGGAAGGATATTATAATGGTCAGTTATGTTACACATTGTTACTAAACAAAAACACAGCATAAAACAACTATACTTACTTAATTATATATTTTTTTATACAAATCCTGACAACTAGCTTCTTCTAGCAAGGTCTCTATCGTGCCCACATGCTAAGTGAAGGCATTAAAAAAAATAATTGATTTCTAGGATTACTCAGGGTGAATGGGCTTTTTCAAATTTACAAAAAGAAAGTTTTCCTTTTTCTTTTAGCCGAGCAGCGGGTGAAGCCGCGCGTGAGTAGCTAGGGTCTCAAATACCAGAAGCTAGTGACAAGCAATTAATCTCTGGGCCAGACCGGGCTTCATCTAGTTAGCTAATATTTATTTTATTTATCTATATATATAAAAGAAAGTCGTGTTAGTTACACCACTTCTAACTCAAGAACGGCTGAACCGATTTAGCTGAAAATTGGCAGGGGGTAGTTTAGAGCCGGGAGAAGGACATAGGATAAGATAGAGTAGGTAGAGTAGGTTAGGTAGAGTAGGGTAGGTAGAGTAGGGTAAGTAGTCAAATGACGGGAGCGATGCCGCGTGTAAGAGCTAGTTTATTTAATAATTTATGTACACACAGTAAGTTGGACAAGAAAAATAATACAACAATTAGGTACAAAGGCACAGCTTATTTCTTCAGAAATCTCTTCCAGCAGGCCCGTTATGGGAGAGTTAGAATAAAAAGTTGTGTAGACTGACTTAGCCTAAGAGCTAGTGAAAAGCTACCTATATGTATTTGACCAGACCTGGGTCTTTGTACATTGAAGCCCCTATACCTACCATACATGAGATGGGGGACCCACTAAGCCCAGAGTGGTAGACGCGGCGGGCGCTCAGGTAAGACAGGTAGTGATTTTTAGCAAATTTTAAATTCATTTGACAACGTCTGCCGTTTAGAAATTTAAAAACATATTATTATTATTATTGGAAAATGACAATGGCAGATCATTATCACGCGTTTAACATTATGGCAGACAGCTATGAAAGCACTGAAAAAAATAAAATTTTGAAAGTAGTTGACCAGATCTGCCATTAATATATTTTGTTTATTAGGGTCTTAAAAACCTATGTTCACCCCGGCAGACGTTTTCATTGACTGCACACTCCAACAGATAACAAGACTTAGCTACTACCCGGTCAGAGATGTATATGGATATCGTTCTCTGTTTTACATCAATGATTAACTTTATAAATGTTTTTATAGTCTTAATATAGAATATTATAAATTGTAGAATAAAATGTAAAAGTTTAATAATTAAATAATAAATACATTTCGAAAGAATCTCAAACATTGAGGTTGATTGCAGATAAGAAATAATCATTCAAATATTTATATTATTTTGTTTCTTTCTTTTTTATTCATTTAAAACACAATTAACAAAATAAATTAAAAAAAGAAATCATGCATTACAAAATATAGATTTCTTTCCGTTTACGTTGTCTAACTCATCTTCATCATCCCTTGAATCGGATTCTGTAAAAATAAAACGTAAACGAGGTATAAATAGAATAAAAGTAATGGATTCTTTAATTCAAATATATTTGGTAAAATTATTATAAACTTACCAGGGATTTTGGTGATTAAGTCACTCACAGAAGTAGGAAGTTGGTCTCCTTGGAACCATTTAAATACAAATTTATCGTCTTGTTCCATCCAACCGTACTCTAATGGATCCAATGTGGTAGGTTGCTTTTTATAAGCATTTTTCCAAACAGTTGAAATATAATGGGCTATTAAAAATTGCTGGTAAAGCTCACTTTTACACGGTGGTATTGAGTTTGCATCAAAATTTTGAATTTTCTTGCTAAAATTACTATGATATGCAGCGTCAAACATTTCGTCTGGTAAAATAATATCTTTGTATTTTAAGTTATGCAATTTTCTTAACCTCAAAATCTTTCGGCATTTTGACAGTGTTTCTTCAGAAAATAATATTAATTTACCAGTTTTTATAGCACTACAAAATACACCCCTCACTTCTTCTTTTTCATTCGACATCGTGTAAAATATATTATTCAAATAAATGTAAAATTAACAAAAATAAATAAAGCAACATTTAATATTTTATTACATTCACAAAACACGAAGCATTTGTATGGGAGTCCACAACTATACTAAAAACATGTGACAAAGACCGTTAGGAAAGGGAGCTTAACAGAGCCCGCTCAGGTATAAACCCTGAATTCTTTGAATGCTAAATAACTATAAAAGAAGCAGTGCTTAGACAATTTTATGAACGAGGTGACAGTAATTTGAGTTTGCAATGGATTCCATCTCATATTGGCATACATGGAAACGAGAAGGCTGACATATTCGCAAAGAAAGCTATATTCGAAGGAATCGAAATTGACATTGCTCCATTCTATACGGAAATACTTAGCTACTACAAAAACATAATGCTACAATCGTTATAAAGAGTATTTCGACATTAAATCTAAAGAGCAAGGTATAAGACTATGCAAAGTGAGCCTCCCCGAATACCTTGGTTTGCTGAAGGTCGTACAAAGAGGGCTTACGTTGTTATGGCACATAGATTGCGTTCTGGTCATTTTCCATCCAGAAAATTTGGATACCTCATGAAAAAAGTCGATTGACCTAATTGCCAAGTGTGTAATAGAGTTGATGATGTCCAACATTTACTGGTGGAATGCGAGAAGAACAAGAAAGAAAGAGAGATAGTGATGCGAGAGCTAAAGATTAGTAGGTATGATATTGGGGCTTTTATTAAGATGTTATCTTCACCAAATTCAAAAGAAGCGGAATTGATCTATGAAATGGTTGCTGCATCACTTTCCCCCTCGCTTACGCAATAATAATTATCTCTGCTATTGTTAATTAGTTAAGTTACATATGTAGTTATATTAGGGTATGGTGAGGCTGACATACCTTTGTAAGGCAAAAGCCTATAAATAAATAAAGATAAAAAAATCTATAAAAGAAAATACTGTAGGCTAGAATGAATACAATAGTAACACATAGAAAAAAAAGGTAGCTACATAGACAGTCTATGCATTCATCTCTGACCGGGTAGTAGCTAAGTCTTGTTATCAGCTGGAGTGTGCAGTCAATGAAAACGTCAGCCGGGGTGAACATAGGTTTTTAAGACCCTAATAAACAAAATATATCAATGGCAGATCTGGTCAACTACTTTCAAAATTTTATTTTTTTCAGTGCTTTCATAACTGTCTGCCATAATGTGAAACGCGTGATAATGATCTGCCATTGTCATTTTCCAATAATAATAATAATATGTTTTTAAATTTCTAAACGGCAGACGTTGTCAAATGAATTTAAAATTTGCTAAAAATCACTACCTGTCTTACCTGAGCGCCCGCCGCGTCTACCACTCTGGGCTTAGTGGGTCCCCATCTCATGTATGGTAGGTATAGGGGCTTCAATGTACAAAGACCCAGGTCTGGTCAAATACATATAGGTAGCTTTTCACTAGCTCTTAGGCTAACTGTGTAAACACAACTAAGAAAAAGAAAAACAATAAGAATTAATAAACTAACTATTAAACAGCAAAAATATTTAAATACATACCTAGCATAATATTTTTTTATATTTCCAGGCACAATATTTCACAGGGTGGTGCCCGGGTTTATCGTGCAGGGTGGTGATCCTAACGGTGATGGTACAGGTGGAGAGTCCATCTATGGTGCACCCTTTAAGGTAAACAAATAATATTATTTTTTATTGGTACACTAGCTACTCCCACGCGGTTTCACTCGCTGCTTGCCTCCATTAGATTGTAGCGTGATGTTTTATAGCCTATAGCACTCGGGAACAATGTAGCTATCAATCAGTGAAAGAGTTTTGGCAATCCGACCAGTGGTTCCAAAGATTACCCCCTACATACAAACTTAAAAATTTTACCTCTTTATAATATTAGTATAAGTAGATATATGAGTAGCAACACGGCTCACACGGGTACAATGCTTGTACTAAATTTCTCCACTATTTAATGGAGTCTTCGTCTTCTTCTTTATATATAAAAATTTCGTGTAACGAGTTTGTCCGCGATGGACTCCTAAACCACTAAACCGATTTTAAATTTGATTTGCATTCCGTGTGCATTTGGATCCAACTTGAAAGATAGGATAGCTTACATCTCAATGTATAGTCACAATATTATTTACCTTAGCCACAGCAACGCGTGGCTGGGTCTGCTAGTCATAACATTGCCCCAAACTGGGATTTTCTCCTGTGTCGTGGGTGCGTTTACAAAGAAACACAACACCCACACAAGGAACAACAATTTGTGGATCACACAAAAAAAGTTGTTCCGTGTGGGAATCGTACCCGCGACACGTTGCGCGGCAGCCAGTTGCCCAGCCACCACGTCAACCGCGACACAGGAGATAGTCCCGCAACGTTCCGCGCGCGCCTCAAAGAGCCAATAGACCTCTACAGACGGAGGACCAATAGACCCTATAGGGCTGATGTTCAGCCGGGGTTGCGGGGTAAGCGCAATTAGGCACCGCGACCTCGGCCCAGAGCAGGAGAAAGAACAGGGGGGTTTTTAGTCAGTAAGAGTCTGACACTCCCTCCCGCCCGGCCCTGGGCGGGAGAAGTCATTTGATGATTTTCCCCTCACAAAAAGAGATAGTCCAAGTAAGCAGCAAAGTTTTATAAAAAAAAAAAAAAACAAATCTAATTTCTTTCTGCCACTATTAGGATGAATTCCATTCCCGTCTCCGCTTCAATCGTCGAGGTCTTGTTGCAAGCGCGAACGCTGGCAAAGATGACAACGGATCTCAGTTCTTCTTCACCCTGGCTGCCACTCCTGAGTTGCAGAACAAGCATACTATCTTTGGGAAGGTTACTGGTGAGTATACTTTAGTGTAAAATCAAAATATATTGTCGAGTAGGGATGGAACAATCCAGAAAATTCCGGCAACGCAGTAGTAACTCTTCTGGTATGCGGGTGTCCATGGGTGGAGCCGATTGCTTACCGTCAGGTGATCCGTCTGTTCCTTAGCAACGAAACCTGTGTCAACAATCATCTCTAAATATACACAGAGAGTTCCAGAGCTGTTGTCTATTAATAGTATAATTCAAATTCTTATCTACATAAGTTGCGGAGGCCCCATCCTTCACCTCCCCTATCTCTTAATATCCAGAACCCATTATCTCAAAAACCCGGTACCGCACTTGGAATACTTCGGGCATCGTGCGTGCCCATGGGCGGCGTCGATTGCATACCATCAGGCGAATCATCCTGCTCGTTTGCGTATCACATAAAAATGTAGTTTGTACGGTAATATCATACAAGAGAAAAAATAATAATTTAATCGTCCATCCATGGGTCCCAGAATGTTGCAAGGACAAATTAGTACCTACAATGCTACTATCCTACCAATATTATAAATGTGAAAGTTTGGGGAAATATATGGATATGGATTGTTATTCTTTCACGCAAAAACAGCCGGACCGATTTGATTGGAATTTGGTGTGTAGACAAGGAAGCTCGTTATAATAAAGGCTAAATTTTGTTTTCTTTTTGTTATTTTGTAACATTATCTTTGATTGGAAGTGCTTATAATTTCTAATCCTAAAAAATATTTGCAGGAGAAACTATATACAACGTTCTGAAACTGTCAGAGGGTCTAATAGGCCCCGACGACAGACCAGACCATCCCCACAAGATAACAAGCACCACGGTCCTTATTAACCCATTCACTGACATCGTGCCGAGGGTACAAGAGACCAGAGAAGAAGATAAACCGAAGAAAAAGAAGAAGGAGCGAGTTGGGGTTAAGTAAGTGATCTTTTTATATCATAGTGAGTCTAAAGAATATTTGATGATATTTTTTATGGGATTTCTCAGTAAGTGTGGGAGAGCCATGCTTCGGCACGAATGGGTCGGCTTGACCGGAGTGATACCGCGGCCTCACAGAAAACCGGCGTGAAACAACCACAGCGTTGTGTTTCGCCGTGTGAGTGAGGTTACCGGAGGTCCAATCGTTCCTCTCCCCCAATCCCTTCTCAATTCCAAAATCTCCAAATCCTTAATCCCTAAACGGTTGCAAATCAGTATGCTCGTTTGCCGACCTGTCAAATAAAAAAAAAATTTGAATGTCTCACGAAAGTTATAATAAAATAAAAGTAAAATAAAGTCAAAAGTTATATGGGGAATAATTATGACGCTAGCGGATCAGAATGTTTGTATAAGACAGTGAAAGCAACAATTTTATTCCTCAGATAACATTTATCTAAGAAAACATTTTGATGGTTTGTGTGTGCCCCTATATATCTGACGCTGACTGTACTTACAAAATAACGCAGTTCATGTGAATCAATGATTTTTAAACATAAGTAATCTACACAGCTAAATGCATATGCTAATCCTCACGGACAAAGCAACAGGTAAATATGCAAAGCTAGTTTATGATTTAACTTGGAATTAAATTATCAGGAACTTTGGTCTTCTCTCGTTCGGCGAGGAAGCTGAAGAAGATGAGGGAGAGGCTGAGGAGTACAGAGGGAAACCCAAGTCTACTCACGACCTGCTAGAAGACCCCAAGTTGAGTAGCAAGACTGCTGCCGGTAACGTGTTTCCTAATCACTTCATAGTATAAAACAAAGTCGCTTTCTCTGTCCCTATATCCCTATGTAAGCTTGAATCTTTAAAACTACGCAACGGATTTTGGTGGATGAATAGAATGATTGAAGAGGATGGTGTGTTCATATCATCATCATCATTAGCCTATAAGTGCCCACTGCTGAGCAAAGGCCTCTTCTCATAAGGAGAAGCTTAGAGCATTAATCACCACGCTTGCTCAATGCGGGTTGGCGATTTCAAACTTATAATTAGAAATTATAAGTCCAGGTTTCCTCACAATGTTTCCCTTCACCATATGTCAGTGGTGTCTAAATAATCATAGAAAGTACATATAACTCGGAAAAAGTCACATTGGTACTTGCCAGGTTTCGAACCTACACCGGCGGGCTGCTTAACCTTCAGGCCACCACGACATTTTCATATAATAATTTAGTATATATATATCGTATTCATATTAATAACATCTATTAAAATATGAAGGAAATTTAGCATTTAGTTTAATAGTACGAGAGCCCACGACCAAAACCATGTCTCATAGCAATACGGCAAAAACCCTATAAAATTGTTAGATTGTATGATTCTGAACGCGACTACGCGTGTAGTAACGGTCGAAAGTGTAGCAACTGCGTGGGAGGCCATTTCTGCTGTGTCAATAAAAAAAGACAGTCGGTATTATCGCAATACGTCTGATAGTACATAGATTTTATAATTGTATTACGAAAAAGTTTGTTTTCAGACATTTTGCGCGTAGCATATAGCCTGAGCGCATTTTTGAAAATGTCAACAAATTTAGCCGACCTGTATCATAGCAATACGGATAATTTTTTTTTCAACTTTTCGTATTGCTGCCATGATTACCAAAAACCTGTTTTCAGACATTTTGCGCGTAGCATATAGCCTGAGCGCATTTTTGAAAATGTCAACAAATTTAACCGATTATTCAGTCCTTCAACTTCAATGTTACGGTTTCGGGTAAATTCTTTGTTAATTATCATCTAATAAATTCAGGGACGCTACGTATTCATTGATTTGTAATAGAAAATTCAAGATGCCTCAATACGATTTTTAAATGATATCTGGGTATCGAAAAGTTGTCTGATATAAATTTTTTGCACATGTGGACAAATTATTTTATCATGTCTAACAATTTTCAGACATATTGCTATGATACCGATCGGTAAAATTTGTTAACATTTTCAAAACGGTCTCAAAATTTAATGCGTTCACATTTCCGTCTGATAATTGTTTTGTTCGCATCAAATAACCAAAATTTACTAATAAAAAAGATTTTCAGACGTAATGCTATGAGACATTTTTTTTGTCTCATTTTTTATTTTTGTAAGTGATTTTACGGGTTTGCGCTACACCACTAACGTCTGAAAAATATGTTTCTGGTATCTCAGATCTATCATTTAACTACAGTCTGCAAATCAGACATATTGCTATGATGCAGTTCGGTAAAATTCTTTGACAATTTGAAAATTCGGTCAGATCAAACGCTACGCGGAAAATTTCTGAAATTGGTATTTTTGAGTTCAAGATAATCGTATCTATCGATTTGATGCGGTTTTGGTCGTATTGCTATGAGACAAAAATTTTGGTCGTGGGCTCTCGTACTATAAGGGTTATGAGTTATTTCGTTCCAATTTGAAAATAACGTTTGACAGATATACAAGAATTTAAAGGTATTTTTTACCTAGGAGAGTAATACAAAAATAAATTAAGTGATACAGTTAAAGTAACTACTATAAAAACACCATACAACGTGCCCAAAGATATTTTAAAAATGTGCCAACTGTAATACAATTGAATAGTATTACAGTTGATTACATTAGTACAAAGATGTAATTTCTGAAAATTTGCCACTTACCGTATATAAAATGTTAATATTACAGAGAAAATTTCAAATAATCTTACAAACAATTAACTTCGCGTCTTCTCATATTCTTAAAAAGATAATTTTTCTTTCCAGAACTAGAATTAGAAGACAAAACACCCTTACCAGAGCCCACAGAAGAAGAGAAAGAAGAGAAAATAAAAGAAACTGCGGCAACAGTAAGTAATATAAGAGACAAACTCAGTTCTAAGAAGCGTGGTAAGTCTCCAGAAGGAGATAGTAAAAGGCAGAAGACAGAAGATAAGAGATCTAAGAAGAAAGAAGAGTTGAAAAAGGAAGAAGAAAAGGGAGAAGTGTCGGAGAGTGATTCAGAGGTTGAAGAGTATTATATCGGGAAGGAGAAGAATGATGCGAGGCAGAAGGAAAAGTAAGTTCTTTTTTGGTCTACTGGCAATATTTCATATAGAAATATAAGTTTTTAAATTTGTTGACGTTCTAACTATTTATTATTCGGTTAGGTTCAGAATGATATGATTTTATAGATTTTTTTTGAGGCCTATTGTTTCCTCTCGCCCTAGGTGGGTCGTGAGAGAGAAAGTTTCAGACAGTTAGTACTTCAGGTCGGATGCATTATTGTACCAATTGTTAAACTATTTAAAGGTTTTGCTATACATTTAGCTCCTTTTGATTAAATTAACTAAAACTCGCGGGTTACTCACGTGTATATATTGAGAAAAGCTCTACTAGTTTCGAACCACAGAGGGGTTCTTCCTCATGAGCAGCGTGCGCGAAAGCGACGACGTCGCGCAGTCTACTTCCTTCCTAATCCCTAATCCTTTTGATTACTTTGACCTATTATGAGGTTGTCTTTTTTTAGAGGAGTTGGTTAATGTATGCTTGTAGTACAATAAGTTGTACCAGGCATGTTTTAAAGCATAGTTTTTAGTTAGTTTAGGTCTCCTCACGATGTTTCCCTTCACCTTATGTCAGTGGTGTCTAAATAATCATAGAAAGTACATATAACTCGGAAAAAGTAACATTGGTACTTGCCAAGTTTTGTAACCGCACCGTCATGCAAAAGAAGCGGGCACCTTAACCTCCAAGCCACCACGACATTCACCATTAAAACACATAGGTATTACAAAGTTTTTTTAAAACTTACAGAGAAAGAATACAAAGCGAAATAAAGCAGTTGAGAAAAGAAATGAAAAATTCCAAAGAAGAGAAGATAAAAGAACAGAATTTGAAAGAGCAGAGTGAAAAAGACGATGCTAAAGGCGACAAAAAGACCGCAGAAGACAATGAAATGTACCAGAAGTATGTAGAAGAACAAGAGAAGTATAGGAAGATGAAGGAGAAACTGCCTAAGAAGGGTGCTGCCAGGTAAAAATTGTTTTTTTTGCTCTTTTCTACGATTGTGTTTATTTAGGTTTTTGTCAAAATAATGGTAAGTTAATCTTTGTGTTTGCCCTTCCCTATTTTGCGATATTTCTGAAGAAAATTAATTTCGCAATATCTACAGAACTCCAGAATAATATTTGGCTAATTATTTTGGAATCTTACTAAGATCAATATTTCTTAAAAACCATTTGTTTAATTTCAATAAAATTGGTTCAGCTATATAGAATGCTACGAAATTAGTTCTGGGGAAGGGGGGGGGGAGAGTTAATGAAGGTATAGAAGTCCAAACTGCATGATCTACTGGGGGGAAGGCATTTCGGTTGTGACTCGAGCGTGACAAATTAACTTAATTTTGGGGAATGTTGGCAAGGGGCACAAAAGTTATCCTAAACAGAGACCTTTTAGAGATTTTAGAGAGCTATCGATCCCCACTCCCTCACCGGAGGGAGGAAACGTCATAAACCATATTTTCTTTCTATCACCAAATCCCTAAGACGCTTGAGTAACTACAAAAAATTAGGATACTGGTTTCCCCCTACTTTACGTCGTTATATTTTAGGCTTATCACCCATAATTCCTCTAGCATAGTCTCATTTTATGATTTAAGCTCTAGAGATTGTGATGTTTTTTCCTAAGATTTTGTAAAAATGTTTTTGTTCTAAGTACATAAAAAATCGCCTCGATACACCGCGACGTAAGGATTAACAACTTTAAAATAAAAAAACGCGTCATTTTTACCTTTTACCAAATTTCGTAGTGAAAGTTTTTATCCAAAAAAAATTATGGTGCCCGAAGAACTGATACGAGAAACCACAATTTCAGAAACACCCACACTAAGCAGCCGAAACAAGTCCAAAAAAGAAAACCTTGGGTCAAGAATTTATATGAAAATCGCGAATATCCGGATAACTATACTGACAAAAATTTCCTTCAAGAACTACGAAAAAATTTGAACATTGAAAAAGTAACTTTTCCACAGGCCGTCCAAGGATCATTTCGGGTTGCACTGCGTTTATGTATATGCGTATTATATGCTATTATATACGTGTATATGTATAATAACTGGGTGCATACATACACTGTAATATATACATCAATTATAGCTACATTATTCAGTTATATGTTGTATATTAGTTTTGCAGGGAGCGCCATTTTGAAGCACTTAAAGACTGTATTAGTTTATCTTAGTATAGGGTATTTATTATCACCGATATTACATACTTTAACCGATACAGTTAGTACTGATACTATTTACGCTTGGGCAGTCATTATGATGATAATACATTTGATATTTTTCGATTATAATGTACCCGCGGCTCTCGTTTCGAAGTCATTATCAATAAATGCAGCTATATTTGCCTCCGTGTGCCTTGTTTCCCGTCTTTCGACCCCATTTGACGCATTTGTATTGTTAACTATTTCAGTAATTTTATTCGTATTAAGCCCCCAACTGTTTAAAACTATTTTACACACGAAATTGTTCAATTTGATCTATATAGTTACAGTAATGTTAACTGTTATAGGTTTATACAGCTTGTCTATAACTTTGTTATGTTATTTTGCGATTATAGTTTTTATTCTAAATGTTTATTGTCCATTTTTGTTTGTCCATTGGCAGAAATATAAAGATAATAAATACGGGCCTTGGGATGAAGCTGTGATTAATGATTCTGATGATTTGGAGGAGTGTTTGCATGTAAGGGCTTAGTGTAGCCTCCATTTCCAGGTTGACAAGAATTTTCTTTTGTTAGGTTGTTGTTATATTATTATTTAAACGAACTCTGTTATCGTTATTTAAGTTAATTAAGGGTATAAGTAACCTGTATTTGCATTAATTTAGAAATTAGTCTCTGAACCGAATTTATACTATTAATCTTTCATAATTATTTACGATTATAATAACTTAGACTGTAAAAAAGAGCGACCAGCACAATGTTTACAATGTTCATAACGTAAATTACAATGTTCATAACGTCTCGTTTTGTACAATCACAAAACGAGACGTTATGAACATTGTAAATGACAGAATAGTCGACAACATTGGAGACTCAGTTGCCATTAAGGAGAAAAAAAAAGAACATTGTAAACACAACAGTATATCTTATTATTATTTCCTACTTCGCACCAAAACGAAAATAAATAAACGAATAACAAATTAAAATATCATATTGTGTCTATTTGTTTTCTATTTAAACGTTTTGGTCTTCTAAACTACTAGTTAGAATTGAATAATATTTTTTCTATTATATAGTTAATTTTTCGAGGAAAGTTTTAGGTAAGATAATATCACGCTGCAACCAAAAGGAACCGAGCAGTTTGCGAAAAAGTCAAAAGTCAAATCATTTATTTCAATTAGACTATAAAAGGCACTTTTGAACGTCAAGCCAATAAAAAAATCTATGTAAAGGTTTAATTTTATGCGTGTCAGTCTGTCTCTCTGTTCTCTAGTGAAGCTATTTGCTCGTTCCAAAGTGTAGATTCCTAAAGAGAAGAACGAGCAAGAAACTCCATGGTTACTCTTTTTTAATCAAACTGCTGGTAGTTAGAAAATTTTAAATTGTCGTTATTATAGGAACAATAAGTCTACCCCTTTAGTGAATAGAAAGCGTAATGTTATTAATAAAACAAGAGTTTATTTGAGTGCAGTGACACAACAAGTTTATTTTTTGTGAAGGTCACAATACATATCCTTAACTATAATGGTAAAATATAGATGGCGTTATTAAGTTGTTTTTATAGGTATGTTAATAGCAATAAAATGTTCACAGTTTTTTGTATGTATATTATGTAATTATGCCAATGTATTAGCCAAATATTTAAATAAATTTAACTAATATTTCAAATGTAGTTTTTTTATTGTTACTGCTTAATTCCTGAATAGATAGGTAAAAGTCGGCCTTAAGGTTTTAGGGATAGGGCGGCAAACTAGCTGATTACCATCAGGTAAGCAATCGGCGCCGTCCGTGGAAACCCGTAATTCCAAAACAGTTATATTGTACGTTGTCGGTCTTTTGAAGAAAACGGAATCAAAAGAAAGAGACAGAAAATACCTATTATTTATTTGCCATAGACTTGCAGAATTGGAGAACAAATAAAAATATAAATAGAAAAAAAAATATATTGAAATCTATATATTATATATATAAGAAAGTCACACTATTTATAATTCAAGAACGGCTGAACCAATTTCGTTGAGAAATGGTGGGGATATAGTGTGGAACCAGGTGAAGAACAGAGGGTAAGGTACAGTAAGTTGGGTAGAGTAGGGCAGGATATGTGATGTAGGGTACGTAGTGTAGGGTAGGTAGTATAGGTAACTAGGTAATGTAGCGTAGTTAATCAAATGACGGGAGTGAAGCCGCGAGTAAAAGCTAGCAATTATAATATTGAAAGTAAGCAAAATTGGGTTCCACAGTAACCTCACTTACACGGCGAAACACAACGCTGTATTTTTAATAGGCTATAATTAAAATATCGTAAGACATAATAAATTAATTGAAAATAACTAATTACTCACTTGATCTAACTGAGAAAACCTCTACTAGTTTGAAGTCACAAAAAGATTCGCTCTCTCAGTTGCTCTGGAAGTCGGCTGGTCTGCTCATGAATAAGAGTCCCATTGTGACTTGAAACTAGTCGAACTTTTCTCAGTTAATCCACATGAGTAAGTCGCAACGCTGTGTTTGTTTTACGTCGGTTTTCTGGAAAGCCATTTTATCACTCCGGTTAAGCCGACCCATTCGTGATAAGATAAGATATTTTATTATAAAACACGGTATACAGGGTGTTATTAAACATTTTAGATCAACATGTTTTGCTTAATGTTAAAGCATGCAAACTTACAACTACGTATATTTAATTTAGTTTTTATCAGAAATATATGAGTTATGTTCCCAGGTTAAGTTTTATTAACATAATATCTGAATTTCAGAGAAGATTTTACATTACAACTTTTGGCGAAGTTCAAAAACAAACTTCACGCTATAAAAGAGAAGGCGACTACAGAAGGGGAACCGGCAGAAAAGGCTGATGATAATGATGATGACTTGAATACTGATGATTGGTAAGTTTCTACTCTATATTTAAAGAAATAAAGATCAAATTAGAATAGGATGTATGCTTGAATTATGTCGTTTTGGTGCGAAGCATTATATTATGTATACAGGGTGTAAGGGACAGCCCTCCACAAATTAACAGGGTGCATTCAGCTCCTTATTCTGAATCATATTCCAGTGAAAATTCTTTCAGGAAAATTTTCAATTTTTTTTTCGTTTTTTCAGTTCCTACACCTCTATTTCAATGTATAATTACATTCTATGTATGAAGAATAACATTAATGTAAATAACACAGCTAAAACAAAAAAATACGCAATGGTTGTGTGAATTCTCTAAAGAACTACGCATGAAATCAGCTGTTCAATTTCTACCTAGCGCGAGTCGTTTGAACTCACCGCACCGCGGTCACGGCGCAGCGGCTCGGCGCCCCACCGCGCCGATCGCCGCGCCGCGCGCTGTAGGTATAATACCTACGATCCCGTCCAACGTACAGAATAGCTGCGTCCCTTTCTATCGCCCCGCCTCCGCGCCTCCCCGTCTCCCCGATTCTTTGCACAATGTTTGCCCGATTGAACCAGTGTTGCCAATTTTTAACTTTTGTTACCTCAGGTAGTAAACGAAAATGTTAGAACTAGCGAAATTTATCTAAAACTTGAGAACTCCTTTGCATTCATAATTACATTGATGAGATTTTTATTAATCAATTAAAAAAATAATCAATTAATGAAAATCTTGTCGCGCACATAAATTGAATAAGAAATAAATAAAGATTAGTCTAGTTTTAATTTTAAAGCATTTACAAATACTACCTAATTTATTAATTGATTGTTCTTTTTAAGCGATTACTGGCTAGTTTTTAAACTACTTACAGATTTTTACATGGCTTCACAATAGCCATGAATTGAAAGTCGAGCCAGAAATTAAACACAATCTCCCTGGAATGGAAGCACAGCTTTCTATCACACTGCACTTTTATTATTCTAAATTAAATAAACAATGAAATTAGAATTAAATTGATTTAATCAATTCATTTCTCTACAAAAAATAACAGAATGATAAATTACGACCATGCATATTTTTTTATTTTTTACCCCGAAATTTTGTAATTTTCGTGTAATTGGCAACAACAGATTTATGTTTGTGTGTGTCTCATCACATGCAGTCGCCATTGTGCCTTGCTGCGATGTTATTGTTTGTGTACCGCGAGCGTGTGTCGGCACGGATCGCTCGCGCATTCGGCTTAAAAGTTTTGTTATAAAGTAGTGTTGTTAAGTTTTATTAGTTATGTAGTGTGTGAAGTGTAGTGAAGTTTTGTTGTAGAAATTGTGCGAAATTACTACCTAGGTACGTTTAGCGCGCGTGATTATGGGGAGATGATAATGTGTTGTAGTAGTGTAGGTATCCTGACCGTCGCCATCCATCAGACTCCAGGATAATTACTGGTGACTATCAACGCTTGCTAGAAAACCAGCCCATTGTTCCCAGACAAAAAGGCGCCGGAAGACCAATACCTACGTGGATTTTGGAATTGGTTCGCTAACGTAAGGAGACGCTACCACTTACCAGTGCTTTCCTATTTAAACGTAGTTTAGGTAGGTTTGGACCGCAACCGTGGCCAGCACGATCCCCAGACCTAACCCATTTGGACCCCTTTTTGTGGGGTTACGTAAAAGAAAAAGTGTTTGTGAGTGCGTGTGCAAGTGAGTACGAAATGCGAGACCGCATCACAAATGCTTTCCAGAGCCGGAAACCGGAGCGATTCTAAGGTACCTACGCATTTTTCTTTTTTTATCATTTATCAGTTGCCATGTTATGATTGTTAGATTTTTTTTGTAAGTAATGCAGCTATCTTTTAAATAATAATTTATTGTTATTAAAACGTGGCGCGAGCGCGACCGTTTGTCTGAACGTAAGGTCGCGGCGCTGCCCATAGTGTAAAGTAATAATACTAAAAGCGCTGCCGTTCGCTGCGTGCGTTTGCGGTGGTAGCGATACATTGCGTGTAAGGTAATGAAACAAATCGGTTTAATTGGATTCCCATAACGTTCCTGAAATAATTTCATGTACCGGTCAACTTAAGACGATATACTGAATCCACCCTATCAGTTTGCGGAAGGCTGTCCCTTACACCCTGTATAACGCCGAGAAAGAGATCTCCGGTTCGCTAACTAGCTTTTAAAAGCGTTGTTATAAAGAGACAACTGGATTAGTTATCTTAAAAAATTAAACTAGCGAAAAAACTATGGCTCCTCTTTTGTGAGGGTCACGGGGAGGGGTCGAGAAGGGGTAGTATAGTAGGGGAAGAGGAGGAAATCATCACTTAACTTCTATTAACCTATGTTGGGTGAGACGGAGTGTCAGACTTTTACTGACTAAAGACCCCCTTCTTTCTTCTCCTGCTTCTGACCTCCAGGCTACGGTACTATACTACAAAAATGTACGATTTATTGAGTTTCTTGCTCGTTCTTCTTCATCGGAATCTACACTTTGGAACGAGCAAATAGCTTCACTAAGAGGACTGACCAACAGACTGACACTATATCTTCAAAATTTTGTTTGACGTGCAAAAGTGCCTGTAAGGGTCTAATTGGAATAAACGATTTTTGACTTTTTGACTTTGACTTGTACATTATTGTTCTTGACTCGCAAACTTTCAATAGGCAGTAAGAGCCTGACAGTATTTCCCGCCCCTTACATAGGGATTTATGTGTACTTTATATCTTTAAAACGACGCAACGGATTTTGATGAGGTTATTTATAGAAAGAGTGATTGGAGAGGAATGTTTAAACATGCATTTAATAATGGAGAAATTTAGTATCAGCATTGTTACGAAGCCGGCGGCGGATAAATCGCGGATCGCTTATTATAAATAAAACACAATTTCATTCCACCAGGATGGGCCACACTCTCCGTTTTGAAGAGAAAGGCGCAGTGCTAGCAAAGGACGCCTCCACCAAAGGAGACGATTGGTTTGATATATACGACCCACGGAACCCCATCAACAAGAGAAAGAGAGAGAAGTCCGATAAGAAACAGAAGAAATAGAGAAATAAATGATTTTGGTCAAAATCTCTTTGGTTTTTCATTTTTGTTCTTGTGCAGATGTCGCCACTGTCGAGTTAGAGGCACCATGCCCTAAGCCATTTTTAGATTAGGTATTATTGTTGTTACCTTTCGTTTCTGTGACTACTTAATATTGATTATAATTGAAAACCGTAAGTAATTGAAAACCTCACAGAAAACCGGCGTGAAACAACCACAGCGTTGTGTTTCGCTGTGTGATCCTTCCCCTCCCCCGATCCCTCCCCAATCCATTAATCTCCAAAAGGGGTAACTTACACACTCGTAGCTCCTCGATTGTCCATGGGCGGCGCTGATTGCTTATCATCAGGTAATTCGTCTGCTCGTTTGCCGATCTATTAGATAAAAAAAATGGAAATAGTGGATTTTCAAAGGGGTTAAATATGGCCAAGAAAAAATTCTTTGATACCCTCAATTCGGATCGCGCAAATACTCAAACTTTCAGAATCTATATAGTTATATAGATTCTCATAGATTCTCAGTAAGAGTCAAAATTGTAATATTCTATTTACATTCTATCCTTTAAAAATTTTATATTTTTTTACCACCTTGCATGCAAAAGCACTCCTCTAAACAGCCCAATCTGATCTGACCATTGTCCGATGCTACCACAGATAAGAAAAACAAAATTAGCTATGTCCGTAACAACACAATAAAAATTAACGATCCGTAAAATTTTTAACTGTAG